ATAATTATTGAATTATTTTAATATTAATACAACATGAAATATTTTAATTAAATAATTAATAAAATTAAAATTAATTTTATTTTTTATACAAGTTAATAATAAAAAATAATAAATACGCATTTATGCTACGTCGCATGTTAAAAAATTCCTAAGTCACAAATATTGTTAATTACTACAGAACCTGCTTGATGCAGCTTCAACCATTCAACGACCAAATAAAAGTAGGATGCCAAAGTAAATTAAAGCAGAAAAGTATGCAAGTAATGAAATAGATATTATAATTATGGTTGCTTATTTAGTATTATTAGTGCCCAACCATAACAAGGCAGCTTAAGCAGAGTCTTGGATATCTTCCGTACATACCATGGGAAGAGTAACAACAACATCAACATCATAAACAATAAGCAGCAACAACGACACCCTGCGAGCAGAATGAGTACACATATTATCCAAACCACATGTTGATGGGGTCTAATGTCCCCACCACGGATGGACGAAAACACCAGTCCTTCCAAGGACCTTGAAGAGCCCCTTGCAGTCTTCTTTCAGTGCTCCATTGCTGTCAGCACCATCTAAGCAGTGAAGAAACACCTCGTCAACAAAGCATATGGCACCACCATCAAACAAGTCCTTGAGGAATTTCAACTCCATCTTCAGAACCACAAAGTCTGCATTACGCACTGTTTCTTTAAACCAGAGAAGGAAGTCAAATACTTCATCTCCTCTTCCGGTTCCCAATCATCAGCAATATCGGGATCTACCTGAGGCCTATTCCCAGCAAGGCCGGGATGATAAACAAAGGTGATGCCAGGACTTTTAACATGTGATAGCATCACTGACGTGTTGTGGTCAACAAAGTAAACACTGAAAGCTTTGATCCACAGGGTAAAATGGCAAGAACCAGCTTGAAACATTGGAGTTCAAATGCTGCCCTGCCCCACTGTCAATATAGACTACACGTCTCTTAGATGAAACATCAATAAAATTGGGCAAATAAGCAATTGTTTTCTCGAACCCCGCTAGTTTCTCTTGAACTAGAGGCTCAATGGAATCAATGAAAGCTTTGTTGTTTTGGATGGATGGGCAATCAACAGGAAGGCAATGCTGCTCAAAGAAAGAAATATTTAGGCTTTTCTTCTTGAAGACCACTAGTGTAAACTGATTCAAGTGAATAATATGCACAACACTGGAAGCTTTCAGTAATGAGGAAATTGGGGTTGCAGACCTAATTAAGCTATTTGGTTTGGATCCACTGATCCCCACAAGTAGGGACAGAGCCAGAAAATTCAGTTTGAGGAGAAAAAATTAGTATTAAAGATTTAAGATTTTAAGAGTATCTTTTATGGTATTAATTCATTTTCTTTTAAATCTTTTCTTTCTTATAAAAATTCACTTGTGATCTTTTCTTAACAAAAATTAGAAATAAATGTATGCAATATAATAATAAATAAAATATTATAGTAATAAATCATATAAGAATCAATCAAAGAATGAATTAAAAACAAAAAATGTATTTGTTAACAAAATCTCTAAAAAATTAAGAGGAAAAATATCACAAAATTATATTATTTTAATAAACTTGTTTCGAAACAAAAAAACATATTCTCTAACTAAGAACGTGAGTGCTTTGATTTTAGTGAAATAATATAATTTTGGAGTATTTTCCTTCTAATTTTTTT